ATATACAGGGTGGCCGATATATAACTGACTGATTTAAATTGCGCGCCACTTTTGATACACGCATTTCAGCAGGTGGCGCCGTAGAAAACGATTAAAGCACATGTGTCCAATTCATCATGGCGCGCTACACGATCCCACAACGCGCCCTTATTGTTAAATAATGAGTCGATTGTTGCAACGATTCGGAAGCTACGACAGGATTCCGGTCGACATAATGTGCCCAGCGTCAAACACTATTCGTCGGTTGGTGCGGAAATTTGAACAAACAGGTGAATTAAGAGGGTCGGCCGTGTTCCTATTCCGGAAAATATCGAGAGAGTTCGTGAAAGTGTAGTGGAGCGCCCTGGGTCGTCTACCAGACATCGTTCTCAAGAACTGGGTATTCGTCGCACGTCATTAAGCACTATTTTAAAAAAGACTTGCATTTGCGTCCATACAAAATTCAGTTAACCCAAGAACTGCAGCCTAGTGACCATCAAAGTCATGCAATATTGCAGCTTAATACCCAAAATAACTTTTTACCGAGCGCTACCGTGATATGGTGCAAAACCTTCTGGCTTCTCAAATCCAAAAATTTAACCTGCAAAACATGTGGTTCCAGCAGGACGGAGCAACTTGTCACCCAGCTAATGAAAAAATGAATCTTTTGCGATTTGGTGATGTCAACTGACCGAGGTCACCGGATTTAACGGCTCCTGACTTTTTTGATGGAGATTTTTGAAATACAGCAGACGCTCGATAATGCAAACTAATTTAATCCAAGTGTGGTTCACATTATCGAAATGTTTACATTAGCGAACGTGATTTATATAATATTTGATGTATTAAAAGAAACCTTTAATACATACTATTTATAACAAAAATAAAACAAATATTCTGATAGCGATTAAGTATTTTTTTAATTAGAAGAAAAATAATTAATTTTGTCTGCGTAAATTTGCGCTTAGCATTGTCTTCCAATGCCTGCGCCCCTAATTTACGAAGAACTAAATATCCGTGTATGGAACTTCTTTTCTTTCAGCCCAATCTAAAGCTTGGTTAAAAACTTGTATAGCTTGCGCGTCAGTCACTACACTTCTGGCTTCAATGGGATCGTTCTCATCATCCTCACTGTCCATATCCTCCTCCTTAGCAGCATCATTCGTCTGCTTATCTTCGTTCCATAAATTAATATCAGCAGGAGTACAAACAATGTTGGGATTCACTGTTTTCAATAATCAACAACATCCAATGACACATTAATAACTTTATCATTATTGGATCGCAAACGTTCTCTAATTACGCTTAAGGGGACATCGTCTTCTTCATCATCTTCATTATTGTTACAAAAGAGATTGTTCCAACATTTTTGAATAGTTTGCTGGTTAAGTTCATTCCAGGCCATATGTAAATCTAAAACAGCTTCTCGTAATGTTACTTTTTTTAAAGCCTCAGATAAGTTTTCAGGATTCTTTGATAAGACCAGACGAAAGTAGAAACTTCCTATAGTATAGTTTGGTGAGTCTTATTATATTCTGGTCCATCGGTTGAATTAACGCTGTTACGTTGGGCGGCATGTACATGGCGAAAATTGACCCATCCCTGCTCCTCAGTGTTGCTCGGGAGGATGACTTGGTGCATTATCCAATAGTAAACAACGTTTTTATTGGAAGGTTCTGTTGTTTTAGGAAACCTCTTTCCTACAAATTGAAACACATCTTCAAATTATGAATAGAGCATTTGTGATAATTGATTGTCATACCTGAGGGACAAAGCACCTGTGGAACCATTTCAGGAATATACTGCTAGTCATCCAAGCAGTTTTTGAACAGTCATAATCAACAGGGATATTAACATTTTAAATGAGCGCGGATGTTTTGCTTTCCCAATTATCAGTGGCTTTTTTTTGTGTGAACCATTAGCATTAGTGCAGGCTAGAAACGTTATTCGTTGTTTCTCCGGCTTCTGCCCGGGGCAAATTTTTCAAATGATGCAGCATAGGTTTTCTCTGGTAACATTTTCCAATAAAGACCACTTTCATCTGCGTTGTAAATTTGTTCCATTCTTAAATCTAGCTCGGTAATTGTTTTCATCAATTTTTCTTTGAATGATTGCACTAATTGTGGTTGTGTTGATAATTTTTTCACCAGATATAGACAGCAGTCGAATTCCATATCTTGTTTTGAATCGTTGTAGCCAGCCATCACTAGCTACGAAATTTTCAGTGTCTTTCAGTTTTTCATTTAACAGTCTCGCTCTCTGTTTAAGTTACTTCGCCACTAACTGGGAACATGATTTTAGGTGCCTTCGCATTTTTTCTTTTTCCCGGACCTCCAAATGTATTGCACGTTCTTTGTAAAATTTGAGTTTTCATACGCTTAATTGTTGCTTTCGATACTCCATATTTTTTTGCTAACTGTGTCACTCCCGCACCTAGTGCAACTTCGTATATGATTTTCACTTTCTCACTCAACTTTAAACACTTTCTTTTATAGGATATGGATGCCATAGTCGTAAAATATATCCTCCTGAGACCCAGACATGTTTTTCATAAGTTAGAGTTGTGGACGTTTTTAAATATAACAGAAATACATTAACAAACATTCTTTACTGAGGACATTTTTTTATTTTTTTTTCTTATTTTGAAAGATTAAAATGGACATTGGGTCTTAACCTATACAAAAATGCCTAATGTATAAGTTATTTAGATGGTAAAAATACATTTAAAATTAAAACTTAAACTTATAGAACATAGAAAATAAACGTAAACTTAAATTTATCTGTTATGGAACTCTATAAAGCAGTTTCTGTAGCAGTTATGCATAAGAATGCGTTACTCTATTACAAAAAAACTTCGTTTTTTTAGTACAACTGTCATTTTTACATCGAACCGAATTTCTTAAATCTGAGGCAATTTCTGGGTAATGTTCTTTCCGCTTTCTTTCGGTGCCTGCTGATGGTGAATCAACAATGATATTACCCTCAGGATTTCTTCGAGTTCCTATACCTCGTATATTTTCTTGGAAAATGTTGGATTCATTTTTCAAAAGGTACGTGGCAATTTCGATTTTAAAATCTAGATACTGCTGTATTTTTCGTGTAGAGGTTTGAAATATCTTTTTATCTCTTCGATAAAAAATCCATGAGTTTTACCATGCTAAATCAAGAAAGGAAATGGAAAATGAACATCTCACAGTCCCATTTTTTGATCTGGCTTGAATTCTGTAATAGCTGATCATTTCGGTCTATCAGGTCAATTCCTCCCCTACAATCGTTGTATTTAGCAACAATGTAAGGTCTTGCAACTTGTATGTATTTAGAGTCTTTCTTAGACCAACCGTTTACACTCATCACTAGGTTGAATTCCTAGACGAGTAGATGCCAAAGTACAGATTTCAGGTCATACCACTGTACAACCACTATTTCGCCATCTTGCCATTACATTTGTTCCGAGCTAAACCTCTACCTATCTTGTGGCCATCATTTTGTCTGAAGTTAAATGTGCTGCCGCTGGTACACGAGATTTCATAATCGTTTCCAGTACAATATTTCTTTTGTTGGCGAAGATATTCAAGAAGTGGTATTGTCGTAAAATATCTATCGCAATACACATGAGTTCCAGGAAATAATGTACTTCCAAGCCGAACAACAGCAGAAGGTCCAACACCAAGTCGTTTTACAGAATCATCTGGAAACGTATTTTTTCCTTGATATAGTTCAAAGTCTACAAGACCATCAGGAGCAGCAACAACAAAAATTTTCAATCCCTCTGGATTGGTTTTCCCCTAACAAACTGCTTTCATTTGACAAGTTCCAGTGAATGGTATCATCTGCTCATCCACAGCAACTACTTTCTCTCTGGGTAGCTGCAAGCACCCCTGCAATACTGCTCTAAAATAGGACGCACTTTCCAAATTTGTCATACCTGCGTTTCTCCTCAGAGATGCTGCCATCAATTACGACTTTGAGGTTACTTCTTATAGAAAAAACCTATCTCGAGTCATAACATCCGCAATAGCTGCAACCCTCGTGGGTTTGGCCCAGTACATTCTGATTCTAGGATATTTTAGGCAGGACATTAAACAAATTATCCCAAAGAAATGTTTAATCTCATTAAGTGTCAATCTAAGGGATACACCTTTAAGTTCAACATACCTTGCATTTGTGCAATCACATACTTTTTGGAACATGTCATCTTCTAAGTACATGGCAAAATACGATTTTGCAGTCCAACCATCGCGAAGCTGTGCGCTGCATTCACTAGACGGACCTTCAAAATTTGGAGGTGTAAAAGTATCATTCCTTCTCCAAAACTGTCGCTGCGAAGAATTGGGAGTTTGTTTGGCCGTTCTTAACTTTTCTCTAAGGACACTAAGAGGAATTCTGTCCTCCTCCTTCCTCGTCACTGCTGCTCACCAGGTCTTCATCATTTATTTCGTCCTCTCTCTGTACTAAATTATCCATATTTTCAATTTCATTTTCATCATCAGACATTTCAACGTCAGAATCATCGTTTGCAATGAGTTGTAGTATTTGCTCAATTTTTCGTCATCTTCCCCTGGCCGAAGCACTCGTTTATTGCCAAAAATTGCTAAAATAATTTTCCGAATAAATCAAAAATATTCATGAGATAGACCCAATGTCCATTTAAATGGACGCAAATAATTTAGGCTAGTACAAAAGTTATTTAAAATTTTTATTATTATAAAGCTGTTTAAATGTATCTATTAAACATTAACGAATATATATTTCCTCCTAAATCAGCACATAATGTTAAAAATAGGTTACATACCATCTAAACGAGAATCACGTGCAGCCGCCATCACAACAGAAAACAAACTTACTGATTCACGGCGCAGGTGCGAGACTAAGAGTCGGCCGAATCGGACTAGGCGGCAGCACGGAAGTGTCCAACGTAGTGGATGCGAGGTCTACGCTGCGTAAATATTAAATTAACGAAACTGGAAGTATAAAACTGCATGTCCATTTAAATGGACGCTGGGTCCCAGGAGGATATTAACGCGTGCAATGTATTTCACTTAAGTTCAAAATTGAAATACATACGTACGTATAAACGTATCCTAAACGATCATACGACTGACCGAGTTTGTCGTATTTTATCGCAGAGGTGAATCCCCTACACTCTACATCATAAATCGGGGACTCCCCGACGCCCGACATAAATCATCGAGGCTTCAGCATTTTACCGTCGCGCTGTTTCCGTGCGCCGAGAGTTGTTTACGTTATCGAGCGTACACATTGTTTACGTTTATCGCGCGTTCCGTTTGATCCTATAGACCGAAGTTTGTGTTTACATTAGCGCAAGTTTTCATTATCCCGTGTTTACGTTATCGAGCGTCTGCTGTATAGGGTTTATGTCAACAAACCAAATACTGTAGAGCAGCTATTACGGAAGCGATTGAAAATATTCCTCCCGAGACCTACCAAAATGTGATGGAAAATGTAATCAGGTTTGCGCGGCTCCAAGAGGTGGACATTTGTCTGATATTATTTTTCATACATAATTTCCAAGTTTCAATAAAAGATTAAGATGAAAACAATGGACGTATTTTATTTCATTTCACAAATATTCAAGATACTAGTCAGTTACATATCGGCCACCCTGTAATATTTTGGATCTCGATATTTAAAAATTGAAAGACTGTCTTTTTGTTTTGTTTTTTGTGCAATCATGCAATATTTGATCTCTTATTATTAGGTAGATTTTTTATTAGCCATAGTTTTATTCGTGTAAAAGAAAGCCGTCGTTCAAATTATTTTTCGTTATTGGAAATTGCCTACAGATTATTCTAATGGTAGCAAACAATATCCTATACTTTGTGTATTTTATTAAAAAATTGTGCTACTATGAAATAGGTGCATCTCGTGAAAATACTCGAAAGTTGGTTCCTTAATATGTGAAATGCTATATGTATAAAATGTATTACAGAAAGAATCATAAAATGTATACTATATACTTGATGATTATATATTGTAGTTTTGTAACTGTTAAGGAATAAAGCATATCCAACATTACTCGATTTGATAATGCCATCTAGATCAAGTAGTCAATCTAAAGAGAGAAGGCTGGGGTAAAATGTTACACCTTATTCAAACAAAGGAAAAATTGCACGACGGACATAATGGCTCAAAAACTCAAGGAGATGGAACAGCAAACAGTCAGCTGGACTGTTTTGAGTAGCAGTTAACAAGGTCAAGTCAAGGTCATATGGAGTATGCATAACGTCCTTTGGTCACGGGGGTAGGTCAATATTTTATAATCGTACAAATACGTGGTGGCTCAGCGGAAAGGTCGCGCCCCCCATTTGTGACTCGCCTGGTATATTTTGGGACAAACTAACTTAACAATTTGAAATGGAAGACCAACTAAAGTAATGTCCGCGTATAACAAAATCCGTTTATTGCGAACTTCCGTTTATAACGAACTAATTTATAAGGTACAGACTGAAAACCCGTTGATAACGAACCAAAATGTCTGATATATTCGTAAAATTTTTCGGTTATAACGAGCGTAAAATTGGATTTTACCAGAATCAGGTAACCGAAATCTTCAGAACCGCGTGGTGGGGTATGAGCAATCCCAGTCCTCCATTTAGTCTGATACCTTCTTTATTCGTTGTATTCAGCGTCCTGCACTCTAGAAATCATGGGTGACAGCGTGACGCAATTTCTAAGAAAACACGTAAAGCTCTTACTTTAAATAGTAAATACGATATCGTCAAAAGATTGCAAGGTGTGAAGCAAAGTGAAGTTTGTTCTGAAATGGGATTAAGTGAATCCACGGTGAGCACTGCACAATAACAAGTCCTAAACATACATAAATAAGCACTCTGAGATATTAATTTGATTTACAATTTTTCATAGTAACTACAGGTTGGTACAATTTGGAAAAATAAAGACAAATACTGGAAATGTTTGAGAAAGGCCAAAACATAAATGTGAAGAAAATTAAAAAGCCCACGAATTATAAAGTTGATCAGGGACTTCTGAAATGGTTTCTCAACAGAGAAATAAAAAAGTAACCATAAGTGGTGCTATACTGCAATCGAAGGCTGAAGACCTTGGGAACAAGTTATTGAAATATGAAGAACTGTTTGAAGAACCTAAATTTAGTAGAAGCTGGATCGAAAGATTCAAAAGACGACATAACATTACCAGTGGAAAAAATGTTGGAGAGTCTGCTGCAGTTGATATGGAGTGTGTGAATAACTGGTTGCGGAACAGTGGCCAATCATTAGAATGAACTTCAAAGACGAGGACATATTCAATGCATTTGAAACTGAGTTATTCTATAAGCTTACACCTGACAGGATCTTAAGATTCAAAGCCGAGAAGTGTAGTGAAGTAGTAGAAAGATTTATTTAGCACATTTGGCTACATAAACAGAATTACTGTAAACAACTTAGAACTAGTAAATTCAAGCCATATGGTGTATGATGTAAATGCTGGGCTATAATTGTAGATTTAACAAGTGATTTCTCAATTTTACTTTAAATTTTGTCAAAGTTTTCTGGTCTTTTATCTCCGAGTATAATTTATTATATTCAATCAACCCTGGATGGAATACAGATTTGTAGCATATGTTATACTTTTTGGTCATTAAATGGAAGTCATCTTTATTTCTGGTATTATGTAAATGATGGTCGACATTTGATGATGTTAAATTAGTTAGACTTGATGGAAATATATTACCTTTTACTTTATAAATTAATATCATTACAAGATATTTGATAACATTTTTTACATTGAGCCATTTGCTTAATTGGAGCAGATTTATCTTTATTTAGTATTATTCTCATGCAATTATTTTGTAAAATTTGCAGTCTTTCAAAAATGGAATTATTTGCTAAATACAGAATAGTCGAACAGTACAAGAAATTTGGAAGAATGATGGTATTATAGATAATTTTCTGCTATATGAACTCAGACATCCAGAAACTCTCAATAAATATCCCACTTTACTACTAATCTTATTTATAACTTTTTCATAATGAATATCAAAAATTAATCGAGAGTCAACAAAAACCCCCAGGTATTTAAAATTTTCTACGAATTCAATATCTTCACTATCAATGTTCAGTTGAACATTTGTACATTGTTTTTTTCCGATTAACAAGGCTTTCGTTTTACTTGTATTTAATTTTAGTCTGTTAGATGCTAACCATTTTGAGACAAGTTTCAAGTCTTCATTTATATAAGAGATACCAGACTGAATATTTTTAGTACTCATATAAATCATAGTGTCATCGGCGAAAATCTGAATTTTGCATTTTTTGACTATGGCAGGTAAATCATTCATGTATAAAATAAAAAGAAGTGGTCCCAGGATACTGCCCTGTAGAACACACAACGTATTTTCAATTTTTGATGAAACAGTGTCATTAACTTTTGTAACTTGCATCCTTTTAGACAAGTAATTTCTAAACCAATCTAAAACACTTCCTGATATACCATATGCCTTCAATTTACCTAACAAAATATCTCTATCAATCGTTTCAAATGCCCTCTTCAAATCCAAAAATACTGCTATGACAACTTCTTCTGAGCCTATGGCTCTTCTCCAATTCTCAGTTACCAACTGGAAAGCCGTTTCTGTGGAATATTTTTTTCGAAAGCCTGTTTGCTCCTCCACTAAAATTTTGTTTTCTTCTATAAACTGCATTAATTGGTCATGCACTATGGACTCTAATAATTTTTCAATGTCTGGTAACACATTTACTGGTCTCATATCGCTGCATCTTTTAGAATTTTTTATTTTGGGAACTGGTATTTGTTGAGTTTGGGAAGCTATCTAAAGAAAGAATCACTGTACCTGTAGTGACAAATTTAACAGGAACAGAAAAAGAAGCGATTGATAATTGGAAGATCGAGAAACCCTCGATGTTTTAAATACTTTTCACAGTTGCCAGTTAATCAGAAATCCAATAAAAGAGCATGGATGACCTCAGAGATATTTTATGCTCAACTGCGTAATTGGGATGTTGAGTTACGCCGCGAAAAACGAAAAATTATATTATTAGTAAACAATTGTCCAGCTCATCCAGATGTTAAAAATTTGGACTGTATTAACCTAGTGTTCATACCGCCAAACACGAGTTGTGAACTACAGCCTCTGGATCAGGGTGTAATCCACTGTTTAAAAAGCCATTATCGTCAAGTTATTCTCTCGAGAATTTGATCGTGGCGGGGAAAATTTTACAATCAATCTTTTGGATGCAATAAACATCATTCATATGGCATGGCAGAAGGTATCAAAAGAAACAATTTTAAATTGTTTTACGCATGGGGGTTTCTTGGAGGTTGAGGATCATTTTGATCCCAACGATGACCTGCCACTAGTCGAGTGGATGAAGAAAATTCAACAGGAAGACGACCTTCGAGACAATATTAGAGCCAATCTTCCTTATACTGAAAAAGATTTCAATAAGTTTGTTCATATTGATGACCAAGTTGTGACTGTCGAATACCTGGATGATGATGCCATTGTAGCTGCTATATCTTCGGCAGTTGATACTGATGATGACGAAAAAAAGGAAAATAAAGATGAAGAATCTATGAGTATGGAGCTGATACCAACTCCAACCACATCAGAAGCACTTCGTCATTTCCTTCAGTCACGAAATACTCCGCAGCGTGTGCTAGATCGACTAGCTGAAGTGGAATTACATATTAATGATATGCATTTCACAAACAAAAAAAACGAATGATTTTTTTAAAAAAGTTTTTCAAAAACTTTTATAAATGTGGATTATAGATATTGTTATATACTATTCCAAACATTTTATATACCTCTGGTTGAATAATAAACTAATGAAAAATATCTTCTGGTATTAGAATTATTTATCGTTTATTACGAACTTCGCTTATAGCGCACGAGTTTTGCCGGTCCATTGAGGTTCGTTATAAGCGGACATTACTGTAAAATTATTATGACAATAATAATGATAATAATAATAGTAACAGTAAAATGTTTTTCTATGATATACGATCACATTGACT